GGTTTCCCAGAGAAGCCGTGGCACCCCCGCAGTGTTGCGGGCAGCCCCAGGGCACCGCTGCCGGGATTCTCCCGGCTCCGGGCGCGACATTCCCACGCACACGCCGCCGGCATCCCGAATCCACAGGTAGCGACGCTCCGCCGTGCCCCGAGCGCGCCCCGCGGGGGAATCGGCTCCCGGAATAGCAGCAGAGGTTTGGGAAAGCAGAGAGAAGAGCGATGGAGGCAGGAATCCCAAACAACAAAGTGTGAGAAATCGCAGCCTCGCACGCCTCGCCTGGGAGCACCGCGCTCTCCCGGGGGAGGCGGCTGCCTGTCGGTGCCTCGGGAGAGGCTCTTTCCTCAAGCAGAGCCCGCCGCGGAGCTCAGCTACTCAAACTCGAGGGCCTTTTGCAGCCCTGGTGTCACCATCCGCTTTTAGCGGGGTGTCGTGATGGTTCCTTAGCCGATCCCAAAGTGCAAAGGGCAAACAGCAGGTTAATCACAACAAATGCACCTTTATTAAGGGCCAAAACAATAAATGACATAGTGGGGTCAGAAAAGAAATTTAAAAAAAGGATAGAGAGAGAGAAAGAGAGAGAAGGGGGCATGGGAATAGCTACCAACACAGGCGGAGTCCTCGCTGGTCCGGACGATGGGGATCCGTCTTGTTGTGCTGGGGAGAGTCTCCAAAGTTCTACCTATCCCAGGGGTCTAGTTATAGTCCACAGAGGGAAAAGGGGGGAACAGGCAGAACAATGAGAGTCTATTGAAATTGCTGTGGGGGAACAGGTGTATCTACACAAAATCATCCAGGCTGAACAAACACAATGAAGGATAAGTCCATTGAAGTTACTGGAGAAGAACAGGTCAGGTCATTCCCCCCCGTCCCACTGTTTGTGGTTGGGGTCTCAGTCTCAGTCCTTGGGGAGAGGGTTCTTGATCTTCGTCTGTCACGGTGGTAGTGAGGCAGATGAGGGGTCTTCAGTGAGAGACCACCAGAGTCACCCCAACAGTTCATTTGGCTTAAAGGTGGAGAGTGAAGCAGGAATTGCAGCAGGCCACTCGATGCTGGGTCTTCGCCAAGTCCTTGCCAACTCCTTGCCAAGTTCTTGCCAGGCCTCGTTGGAACAGCAACGTAACGGTGCAGTGGCTGCACCTGCACTATTGTCTTCTCCAAGCTGGAACTGCAGAGGGGAAGGGAAATCCTGCTCGTGGCAATCGGCAGGAAAATGAGTGAGGGTCTTCAGATGGTCTCTTACACCTGGTCACCCGAACAACGGGGATGGAACTCATCGGGCAGCAATTAGCACCTCTGACATTTCCTGTGCCTCCCCACCCTGCGACTTGCTGCGGGTGGGATTTCAGGGAGAATTCCTCCTTGGAAAAAAGGTGGTGAGGTGCTGGCAGAGCTGGAATCCCCATTCCCTGGCAGGATTTAACTGCGCCCTGTGAGACTCTGTGCTGTTGGGGGCTTGCTCCAGCCCCAATTCCTGTGATTCCATAGGATTCTAGGAGTGTATCCTGGTAGTGAAATCACATTTGTGCACTTCCAGCTGCAGGCATGGAAACTTCCCAAACTTCCTGCTCGGGAAGGATCCCGGGACAGTCAGGAATTCCAATGGAGAGAGGCAAATTGAGAGCAGGGAGTCTGAAGAGCTCCGTTTGCCGAGCTCATAAATTTAACAATTATTATTGTGTTGCCCTTTTCCAGGAAAGGGTAAAGGAGATTTGTAGGAGCACTTAACATGTGTAAATCCCCACCTCTTTAAGGCAAAGCAACGAGCTAAATGGGGCTGTAAATATCCCGAGTATTCTGTCCTTTTGGAAATCATGCCTTTCCCCCTCCTCTCGCTGCAATTACAGCCAGGCTTTATCCTAAGGCCTGAGGAAGCAGGCCTTGTTCCAGAGCCTCCAAACCAGGAGTTTGTGAGGGACACGGGAGCACGGCATGGTTTGTGCTGCTCCCCCAAAAAGTGGGATCAGCTCCCGGGCTGGCACGCTTCATCCTCGTGCCAGGGTCAGAACCCACCTGCAGCTCCTCTTTCTTCTTCCCCGGGCCTTGGGCAGCGAGGCTGGCAGTGCCAGGGGAGCCCAGAGCCTTTCCCTGCAGATCCTGAGACTCCCAGGGGATTCCT